AAAGCCTTTGGTAAAGTTTCATGGCCCTTTTTATAAGAGGTTCTCAATGGATTTGGCTTGTTTCATAAATTTGTCTAACCGGTTTTAAACAATCTTCAGGCTACCTATCTTTCAGTTCTAGTTCATGCGGCTCCCTGTGGGTTTTTTAAACCTAAAAGAGGGGTTAAACAGAGTGATCCTCTATCACCTATCTATACATACTGGCATCTGAGGCTTTCTCTAGAGGGTTTAACTGGAATTTTCAAACTGGAAGAATGAAACCTTACTAGATGGGGTCATTTGGCTTTCATGTATCTCACTTGGGTTTTGCTGATGATTTGCTTATCTTTCGTCTTTCGGAATGGGGAATCTAAAACACTGAGGAATTTTAACAAGTTTATCCTGGCTTACCAAAAGGCATTAGGGCAAACTGTGAACTTCCAGAAAAGTTCTTCTATCTGTAGTAAGTATGTTGGTTCCAGAGTTCGTCTCATGAAAAGTATTCTGGGAATGCAACACACTAAGAATGCAACACACTGAGCTACCTGTCAAATATTTGGGAGTCAATCTTCATAAGAGCATTAATAGATACAAATATTGCTTCAGTTTAATTCAACAGTTTGATGAGAAGTTAACATTATGGAAGCAAAGAAACTTATCTCAGGGAGGAAGGTCGGTCCTGATTAAACATGTGCTCAGTTCTATCACATTACATGTTCTTGCAGCTCGATACGCTTCCCAAAAGAGTAATCAAAACATTGAAGAGTAAAGTGGCTGGATTATATTCTTTTGGGAGTCCTCTAATAATAAACAGAAACATCATTGGGTTAGATGGAAATAACTTTGCCTTCCTACAGATGAGGGAGGGTTGGGAATCAGAGCCTTGTTGGACATTGAAAAAACATTTTCTTTAAAACTATGGTGGAAATGGAAAACTTGTAGCTCTTTTGGACTGGTTTCTTAAAGGGTAGATTCCCCAAAATGGCAATATGACCCCCCAAAGTCATTGATTCCTCAATTTGGAAGAGGATTTGCCACATAAACTCTACTCCTATGTCTCTTAGTGAGGTTAGTTTAGAAGGAACTATGGATTGGTTACCGGAAGAGGATGGTAGATTTACACTTAAATCTGCCAACAATATGATTAGATCAGAGCTCTCCGGTACTTTATCATTTTACACTTAAATCTGCCTACAATATGATTTAATGAGCAGGCTTGTATCTCTTTGAAGGTGTCCATCCAACCACCATAGCAACAATTTGATATAATTTCTCCTCAATCAAGCAGTTTGTACCTCGCCCCCTCTCCCATGTCCACTGGTAGCCATCAAAAGGAATATTGTTGAGCCCAGTCCCCAATATTGTCTCCCGAAAACCATTGATGCGCCAATTGGGTTGCGGTATCGGGCTCCTTTCAGGTGAAACCTTTTCTTCAACTTCAAGTAGCTGCCTTGATAAATCGCGAATCAGGTTCCATGAATCTCTACGCCTATTTCTTTCGGGAAAACCATAAAATCCCATGAATCTCCATTTTGGTTCATCCTCTGCCAACTGTATTAAGCAATCAATATAATTCACACCCCAATCTTGAACTTGGAACTTAATGAAGAAGAATATTCGAGCTCCATCGACAACCAAGAGAAGATCTTTATTAAAAGGTGAAATTCATAAGAATAATCCCTACTCTCAGGGATTCTAGAATAATAATCTCTATTGAGAGTGTCCATAAAAATAATCTCACACACACATCTCTCTCTAGGGAAGCGGCTAGGCAGTAAAATCAGAGTCACAAAAGAAGAAAACACCAAAATGGAAGAAGAAAGGATGCATCAATGGGCATTACAAAGTTGCATTATAAAACTAGACTAAACCCATTATGTAGATAAACAAACATAATTATGTAATGTTGATTGCATTTCAAAGTTGTTATTACTTAAGTAACCAAACATTATAATGGAATAGAGATTCTATTCCATTACATTGCATTTTGTATTACATTACGTACTTCATTCCATTACATTGTCTTATATCATACCAAACATTGCCTTAATATAAAGTGGTTTGTTTTGATGATAACAAAAATCTTCAATGGATCAAATATTCATTAATATTACATCAATGCACGTTTACTTTAAACGATATACTCATTGTCATTGACAACACAAAGCTCCTTTTAATAGCCTCCGTCGAAGAGTACTCATTTTAAAAGATTATATCAATACACATTCACTGTAAACATTATACTCATTTGAGTATAAGATAAAACTCATTCAAAGGTATATTATTTGCAAATAACCTTAATGTGACTAATTCTTTTACTCAAATATGAGTATATTGTATAACAATAAATATTAAGAAAATTTATTTATAATAAGTAGTTTTTTTATAAAAATGCATCAAACAATAAAATAATTCACCAAGATAAGAATGAACATTCACTTTTGAATTTTTTCAAACACTTGATGGGCATTCAATATTTAGGTAATAATTTAAAAAATATGGAGTATTACTAATGAAAGATGGGTAGATATTTTAATCAAATTATCATCCCATTTATACTTTAAAAGGAAAGAAATTCACTAGAAGTAAATTAAAATTCTTGATATAAACTAAAAAAAGCAGAAAAAGAGAAGAAATAAAAGGAAAGTAGGGAGAATAAATTAAAAGGAAGGAAAGAGAAGTGGGTGTGCGCATAAGGTACGTAGAAATAACTTAAAGCAACCAAGAGCAGCAAACCTTTGACATCAAAGTTCTATTATATTACAAAAATACCGGGTGTATAAGTACACCGTGGTGTATCATATAAATTGCCCTCAACATTGCTCTTTTCAAAGCCATCACAACAACAACAACAACTAAACCTTAATCCCAAAAGATTTTGGCGTCGGCTAACATGAACCGATCCATGATATTGATGCCAAAACGAAGAAGACAGACAAGAAGAAAAAAAGGATAAAACGAATAACATAAAGATAAATAAATATAAGATAACAATAACATATGAATATAAGAAATATAAAAGATTAAAAGATAAAAGATCATATATATATATATATATATATATATATATATATATATATATATATAAAGTAGAAGGTAAAATAACATAAGAACATAAAAAGAGAAAAGAAAATGAGAGAGAAGAAAAATAGAAAAGAGATCAATCGTCTACACTAATGTGTGTCCTCCACTTTACCCTCTCCAAAGTCATACTCTCATCTAAGCTAAAAAGACGCATATCAGTTTGGGTCTTCCCCCCTCTCTCCTCTCTGTCTCTTCTCCCCACCCCTCAAGTCGTCTAACAAGTGCATCACTCGATCTTCTACGCACATGCCCAAACCACCGCAAATGAGACTCCTGCATCTTATCTTCTATAGGTGATACTCCCACCTTTTGTCTTATTATCCCATTCCTCAAGCGTTCTTTTTTGGTATGCCCACACATCCAACGCAACATCCGCATCTTTGCCACACTCATCTTTTCAAAGCCACACACACACAAAAATCTTAAGTAGATCCAAGTGTTAAAATCAATATTTCATGGTTAATTAAAATATTTTATTTACATCTTTCGATTATTTCAAAAAATAGGTCTGAGTGAACAATAAAAAAAATTAAACTTCAAATTTATCTATATATATATATATATATATATATATATATATAATACGGAGTAACAAAATAGTGGGAGGGATATTTTGGGCGAGAACACGGTAGCATTTTGGGAATAGTATTATTGTATTTATTTATTGTCTTTATATATATATAGGGATGAGTTCAAGTAAAAAGTAGTTTTCCCATGAAAAGTGAGAATAAATCTTGGTCTTCCATCACTTGAAAATAGATGGATTGGATGAACTTTAAACACAAGAGATGATTTCAAAAATTGTGCAAACGTTTATACTATAAAGTGGATAATTACTGATTAAAAGTGTACTCATGCGAGTCAAATAAAATTATCAAAATTTTCCATCTTGTGCACTTTTATTTTGTACTGTATTGCACTTTTGTGCTCTACGTGTGCACTTTTTGACTATTCTGATGCACATTTGTCACAATATTTTCAAAAAAAGTTTTCCATAATTACAAAAATGTCACCGCGTTTCCAACTTAAAAATTGATCTCTTCCACCCATTTTATCACATCAATGGCCAAGATTAGTTCTTATTTTTCACCCAGGAAGTACTTTTTATTTGAACCAAATTATATATATATATATATATATATATATATATATATATGATTTGCGGATTATAATAGTGGGCACAGTTAGAGAGTAATAAATGCTAATTAAGAGGGCCCTTTTAGCTAGCAAGGTAAAGAGAGAACGACGTGCTCTAGGCCCACTGGTCCAGGGCCGTCTAATGAATTTGGAGGCCCCGATTAAAAATGTAAAATTGGGGCCCCACATTAAAATAAAAAATTTAAAAAGAAATCTCAATCCAAATACTTATATTCAAATCAATTGAATACTCATTAAAAGAGAACTAAAAGAGTAAAAGGACCACCGAGAAAATTGATGTATCTATATTTTTCTTCTTTACTAGCTAACTGTTATTTACTGATTAGTATTAGTATACAATATTACTATATAGTACTAATAAGTTTAAAAAAATATGGGGCCCCTTAAATTTGAGATCATGTTTTGGATAACCTATTGAACCTCTTAAAAAATAGACCTGTGCAGTGTGTAGGCCTTTAGTATTCATTCTCATTCCAATGCAAGAAATATTAGGGAGTATTTAATGAATCCCTTGGGTTTGAATCAATCGTTTCATCTTTTTTCAAAGAATTGAAAATTTCAAGAAGAGCATCCAGCCTACAAGCAATGAAAAGTTGTAAGGCATTTCTCAAATGATTTTCATGTGACTTATCAAGTTGGTCCTGGACAATAAAAATTCTACTCCTCAATTATTATACGGTTGGCGGCCCTATAAAACTGAATAGTCACTTTCATTTCTTTTTGTGACAACTTAACACCCCTTGAATTTCTTACATTGATCATTTAAATGAGGTATAAAAGGCCTTCAAAATTTGGTATGCACATCCTATTTTTTCAATAGCAGGCGGTGGGTTCTTCAGGTACTATTTTTCTATAATATGACAAACGTTAAAATGTAATTGTATATTTGAATGTCAAATACATTATACATTTATCGACTGGTGTTTTGAGTAGAAAAAATTAGCTATAAAACTAAATGGAAGTAACTCAGTAGCCTTGAGCAAAGAAAACCAATCGCAAAAATTAAAAAATCAACCATATGAAGAAAAAGAAATACGACAGTAAAATTGATCGAATGAAAAAATAACAGCAGTATGACATCGAATGAATTAAAACTAAATTACCAAAATTGAGACACAAAATCAGTAGTCCTACTCCTAACTTAACTATGAGATATTTTTAAGGATGCACTTAAAAGTCATATACGAATAAGGCTAATATACTAATATATATTATTATAGAATTAGATAAGAATGTAAATAAAATATAAATGCATATAGATGTACATCGGACATTTGATTACTGAATTGAAAATGTTAGCGTGTTAGTGGATTAAGGGCTTAGCCCATTTTATATTTGTTTGTATTTACTTGTATATTACTATGGGCTAAGGGTTTGAATCATTACGGAACATCTTGTATATATATTACTTCAATCTTGATCAATAGAGACATACCAGTTTATACCCTATGATTATTCTAATACATACTGCCTCAGTTTATAGCATGGTATCAGAGCTGCCAAGGGGGGTTACGCATCTTTCTTCTTCTTCGTACCCTGCTTCTTCCTCAATTTAAAGCCGCGCAGTGTGCGCGTCTTCGAGTGCAGAAGAAAATCTGCCGTCTTCGATCTTCGTCGTTTGGCTCGGCACCAGCGTGTCCTAGGAGCCGGCGAATATGGGGGATACTACATCGCCCTATTACCTTGACTCCGGTGATCAACCGGGCAACCTTATAGCACATATGATTTTCAAGGGGGTTCGAACACACGCTGTGGCGACCTCTCTGCTACCAGCGGCCGAAGGCTCGAGTTCATTTAATACGGACAATATCGGTTTGGCTAATTTAAGCAATGAGCAGGTTAAGGCTGTTTTGAATTTAATTAAAGAAGATGCTCTAACTTGTGACCGAAAATTGGGTAAATATTCTTGTGTCAAGTGGATTATTGATACTGGGGCCTCTCAACATGTTACGGGTGATGTGACGTGTCTTGTTGATCCCGTGACTATTCCTGCTTGTTCGGTTGGATTGTCGGATGGGCGTACTGTGAGTGCGGTCTTGACCGGCCGTGTACCATTATCTCGGGAGCTGATTCTTGATCATGTTCTCTACGTGCCTGGACTGAATTGCCATCTCATTTCTGTTTCACAATTGGCAGATCAATCTAATTGCCTTGTCACTTTTACTAACAATTTTTGTGCTATACAGGACCTACGCTCGAGGAACCTGATTGGAGCCGGTGAAAGACGGGATGTGCTCTTTTATTTTAGAGGAGTGACGACATTGCATACTGTTCAGACATCAGCATTCTCGGAGTTTGAACTGTGGCATCGTCGAATGGGTCATCCTTCTGATCGGGTCCTGAAATTATTACCTGTTATTGCTTCCAGTTCTTCTCAGAAAAGGTTGAATAAAGCTTGTGAGGTGTGTCCACAAGCCAAACAAGTTCGTGATTCTTTTCCTGCTAGTAATAATAAAGCAAGTAGGATACTTGAACTTATTCACTGTGATCTGTGGGGACCCTATAAAACCCCGTCCACTTGTGATGCTGTTTACTTTCTTACTCTTGTGGATGATTTTTCACGCGCTGTGTGGGTATATTTATTGCGTGATAAAAAGGAGGTTCATCAATATTTTCTCTCATTTATCGCTATGGTTGAAAAACAATTTTCACTTTCTGTCAAAATTGTGCGTAGCGATAATGGGACTGAGTTCAAATGCATGCAACCATATTTTGACACTCATGGAATTTTATTTCAAACTTCCTGCGTCCATACACCCCAGCAAAATGGGAGAGTGGAGCGCAAACACCGACACATCTTAAATGTTGCACGTGCCTTGATGTTTCAAGCTAGTCTGCCTATTACATTATGGGGTGAATGTGTACTTACAACTGTGCATTTAATTAATCGCACTCCGTCTGGAGTTTTGGGTGGGAAGACACCCTATGAACTTTTGCATGGTGTTCCGCCCAATTTCTCTCACTTGCGCGTATTTGGCTGTCTTTGCTTTGCTCATAATGCTTACTCACGAGGAAATAAATTCTCTCCACGGAGTCGTCGTGGTGTTTTTGTTGGCTATCCACATGGTAAAAAGGGGTGGAAGATATTTGATTGGCACACGGGTGAAATTTTTGTGTCCCGAGACGTGATTTTTCATGAGGATGATTTTCCTTTCTCGACACCTATGCATGAGCCCCAGGTAGTTTTGGCGCCGGACAGTACAACTACACCTATGGTGGTTGATCCCGATCCTGTAGTTGTGACTCCGGCAGCGGCAGAACCTCCTCCGACAGCCCCTACAAACGCCACAACTGTGCCTGCTCAATCTGAAACTGAATCCCTCGGCCGTGGTCTACGCTCGCGGCGTCCGTCTATTTTGCTACGTGATTTTGTCACACATCACGTCCAAAAATTGAGCCCATCCCCGTCAGCCACCTCCTCCGTTAGTTCCTCAGGTACGCCGTATCCTATAGCTAACTTTATAAAATGTGACAAGTTCTTTATACGCCATCGTTGTTTTCTTGGAGCTATACTTGCAGGGCATGAACCCCGATCATTTAAAGAGGCAATGACCGATGTCGGTTGGCGTCAGGCTATGCAAAGTGAGATTCAGGCACTAGAAAATAATCATACTTGGGTTATGGAGCCGCTTCCGCCAGGTAAAAAGGCTCTTGGATGCAAATGGGTGTACAAAATTAAGTATCACTCTGATGGCACTGTTGAACGTCTTAAGGCTCGTCTTGTTGTGTTCGGTAATCACCAGCAAGAAGGTATTGATTATACTGAGACATTCGCCCCCGTGGCGAAAATGGTTACTGTTCGCATGTTTTTAGCTGTTGCTGTCGCTAAAAACTGGGAATTACATCAACTGGACGTTCATAACGCTTTTCTTCACGGGGACTTGGATGAGGAGGTCTACATGAAACCTCCTCCCGGATTTCTTTCTTCTCGGCCTGGGCAGGTGTGCCGACTGAAGAAGTCATTATATGGCTTACGTCAGGCACCTCGATGTTGGTTTGCAAAATTGACTGCTTCTTTGAAGCAATATGGATTTCGGCAATCTTATTCTGATTATTCTCTCTTCACTATGCATCAGGGGTCGGCTCAATTATATGTCCTCATTTATGTTGATGACTTAATTATCGAAGGCAATGATTGTGGTGCAATCTCTCGCTTTAAATCTTATCTGCATAAATGTTTTCATATGAAAGATCTTGGTATTCTTAAGTATTTTCTTGGGATTGAAGTGGCTCGAAGCACTGATGGTCTTTTCCTTTGTCAGCGCAAATATACACTGGACATTATTTCTGAAGCCGGTCTTCTTGGGGCAAAACCTGTGGCCTTCCCTATTGAACAAAATCATGGCTTGGCTCTATCTCAGAGCGCTCTTTTGGCTGATCCGGAATCATATCGCCGGCTTGTTGGTCGTCTTATTTACTTATCCTTTACCCGACCAGACCTGGCCTATGTTGTTCATATTTTATCTCAGTTTATGCAGGCTCCCCGACAAGATCATTGGATGGCAGCCTTAAGGGTTGTTCGGTACCTTAAAGGCTCCCCGGGTCAGGGAATACTTTTCAGCTCTATTTGTGATTTGACTCTTACAGGCTGGTGTGATTCGGATTGGGCCAGCTGTCCCCTTACGCGCCGTTCTCTTACAGGCTGGATAATTTTTCTGGGATATTCTCCCATCTCGTGGAAGACAAAGAAACAACACATTGTGTCTCGCTCCTCAACCGAGGCCGAGTATAGGTCCATGGCGGATACCACGGCCGAACTAAAATGGGCTAAGGGTCTTCTTCTTAGTCTTGGCATTGATCATTCGAGTTCTATGTCCTTATTTTGTGATAGTCGTTCCGCTCTTCATATTGCACATAACCCGGTATTCCACGAGCGCACCAAGCACATTGAAGTTGATTGTCACTATGTTCGCGATGCTATTCAGAATGGGTTGCTCGTTGCTCGTCATGTTTCTACTACGGATCAACTTGCTGGCATCTTCACTAAAGCTTTAGGCAAGCGTCAATTTCTCTACCTTCTTGGCAAGTTGGGCATTTTTGAACCCCATACTCCAACTTGAGGGGGGTGTTAGCGTGTTAGTGGATTAAGGGCTTAGCCCATTTTATATTTGTTTGTATTTACTTGTATATTACTATGGGCTAAGGGCTTGAATCATTACGGAACATCTTGTATATATATTACTTCAATCTTGATCAATAGAGACATACGAGTTTATACCCTATGATTATTCTAATACATACTGCCTCAGTTTATAGCAGAAAACAAATATTAAAGAGAGCATGATCTGCAATTTAGTGCAGGCAAAATTTAGTGATTAGTGATGATCGAAGACAATGATATGGATTGTAAATGATGGCATCTATCAAAGTTGATAGATCGAAGCGAATACTGGTAGTAATTTAATTTTAGCTTGTGCTAATGAATTTAGGTCAACCAGTGAATGGAGCGCTAGATCTGAGATGGTCCAGAAATGTTTTGTAGTTGCCTTCTAATTTTGTTGTTTTAGTTTGAGTCTTTCTCATTTGATTTTTAGTTTAATTCATTTTTAGATGAAATTTTGAATGTCAAATACAATTCAAAGAGAGTAGATGTCGGTTGTTGGTAATACTGAAATTGGATGAATTTGATTAAGTCGATGAAATTTTTGTTGATGCGGTTTGATTGATTGAATTTGCTGCATTGTGTAAAAAATTGATTTTTAATAATAAAGTAAAGAAAAAATGAAAAATAGCTAAAATGATGCTTTGCAGTGACTTCGAGTTATTCCCTAACTGCCCCCTTTATATACATATAAAACGCAGTTATCTACCAAAAATCGTTTGACTGCCTTCCCGATTGAATTTTTTGCTGAAATTTAGTATGAATGTACTAGACTTGATGAAGAACATGCTCAAAAAATTTCATCGAAAAATTCTACAGGGAAGGACCTCAAAAAGTGGAGGCCGCACGGAGGCTCCGGTAAGGTATACCTTACCGGAAGATTTTCCTATATATATATATATATATATATATATATATATATATATATATATATATATATATTGGTTCAAATGAGAACACCTCTATATAGAGAATCAAATAAATAGTGGTTCCTAGATGAAAAATAAGAACTAATCTTGGCCATTGATATGAAAAAATAGATGGAAGAGATCAAATTTTAAGTGAAAAACGCAGTGACGTTTTGGTAATTATGAAGAACTTTCAATAAAAATTTTATACAAAAAGTGTACCAACATATGCAAAAAGTGTACATGCAGAGTACAAAAGTACATAACGGTACATCATAAAATGTGCACAAATTTAAAAAAATGGCAATCTTTTTTATCTCTTATGAGTGCACTTTTATTCATTCAATATCCACTTTGTAGTTTGTACTATAAACGTTTGCACATTATTTGAGTCTGTATCTTGTGATTAAAGTTCATCCAGTCCATCCATTTACAAGTGATTAAAGGCTAAGATTTGTTCTCACTTTTCATGGGAAGACTATTTTTTACTTAAACCAACCCTTATATAGACACACACACACACACACACACATATATATATATATATATATGGATGAGTTCAAATGAGAAAACATCTTAACGTGTAAAATGAGAATTAATCTCAGCCGTCCAAAGTGTCGATCTGATGCACAATAACCCCTATTCGATATTCAAGAAAGGAAACATTTTATTAAAGAAAAGATGACAGTAAAAAGTACAAGACAAAAGAAGGAAAAAGAGAAAGAAAAAAGAAATATAAGGAAAGCAACACACAGATAAAAGCCCAACTCTAAGTATTTGGAAGCCCCATCAAAGGAACTCCTTTCTCCCTAATCCAGCCCCATCAAAGGAAACCCTTTCTCCCTAAGCCCTTATTGAAAAGCATCAGCGCTTTGTACGAGTTTGAGATCGTGTTCTCATACGATGTGAACGTTGATTCCTCTTTCTGTAAGTATTCATCTGCAAATTCAAATTGCTCGTAGGCAGACAGTTATCCCTCGTCACCTGCAACGCCTTATATATATATTATAGGGGAAAGATCAAGTACAAACTGTGTTTATTGTGCAAATGTTTGTACGATGCACCTTGACGTTATTTGCATTGCATATTGAGGTTCAAAGTGTTGCATATTATATAGTCATAAAATAGCAGTTGCACATTAACATTCAACGAGTTGCACCCTAGAAAAGTTAGGTTTTATTACAAAAATGCCACCTTGCCTTTATATCCTTTAGATCAACTCATTGTATTTGAATCTTGAACTTTATAATATCAACCATTTCCATGTGGATCGACCTAGTATTAACTGATATTCTATTACTACATCGACACTTGTATACTTTCAAGTTTAGCCCGATTAAGTTTTTGGCGTTGTTGTCAGGAAAACGGTTGATTTTTATAAAGTTAAAAAACATACACACTTTGAATGTCACTTGTTCTTGTAGTTTGCTTTTGCAGAAAATTCCTTGTGTTTGCATGCTCTTAAGAAGTCAAGGGTCTAAGAACCTTAGAACTCTTGACCTTGAAATCAAAAGAACGTGCAAACACATCTTCAAATACACCCGAAGGGCAAAGATGATGACCACAATCAATGAAAGGAACAAGCCCGTTGTTGCCGCCACCCCCCTCATGTATTGTCCTAAGTGAGACGACTATAGATTATGAAATGAAGAATAGCTACTTCAACGATATGCCTCATGGTCATCCAATGAGGAAACCACTCAATTTCATCAGCGAATTATAGATGTCCATTCAAGAAATTCCTAGACATGGCCTTACCACGAATGATCTCAAACTCAAAAGTTTTCCCTACACCTTGAAGGGGGCGGCAAGGGGGTGGTTCTTGGAGCAAACACCGACAACCTATACAACGTGGGAAGGTATCTATAATATTTTCATTTCAAAATATTACACACCCACTATGAACCAAAAGCTTATGCAACAGATCTTCAACTTCAAACAACAAGTTGGAGAACTCCCCCAAGATGCATGGAGGTGTTTTAAGGCCTTTTTGAAGGAATGCCCACACCACCACATTCCTCTTGATCTTCAAATTAACACATTCTACAATGGTTTGAACTCCCCATGCCAAGCCAATGTAGACAACTGTGCGGAAGGTTATGTTGGGAATAAAACCGAAACAGAAGCTTTGAGAGTTATTGAATCTATTGCTTCGAATTCTTAATTACAAAGAGGAGCAAAACAGTGTGGGTGAAGTCTCTATCAGTCATGAATTGGACAAACGGTTTGCTGATTTTTGACAAGCAAGGCACAAGGATCTGCAAGCTTCTATGCACACGGCTTTACAAGCCGTCATTAGAGGGGTCAAGCAAGTGGCCAACGTGGAGAGCGTAGCACGACCAGGAGGTAAATTATTTCAAACTCCCGCGAAGAACGACAACAATTGACGCCAGTAACATGCCCATCTGGCACCAGTCGTCCTGATTTTTGCACAAAGCAGTAGAACATGCTGAAATATAGTGAAGAGATGTGAAGATTTTGGAGGTTGAGAGCTAAGAAATTTCCTTTGATCCGATTTTTGATCGTGAATAGACTAAAAGATGCTAATATTTAGCCTATATATAAACCCCCATTTCCTTCCCTTAATTATCACCCATATATATATTACATAGCTTAATTCATAGCTTTTATATTTTATTCTTACTGTTTTTCTTCAAGTTCTTGTGGAGGGAAGTTTATTCTCCGAAATCATTGGCATTTAAGTATTATTTCTTTTGTAATTTCATATTTCTTTACATTTAATTGTTGTATTGTGATTAACCTTTACATTAGGGGCTAATTTATTATCTAAGACTAGGGATGAACCTTTGGGTGCACTAGATGTTTAATAAAAGTTCTGAACCAATAAATTGTGATTCATCCTTTACACTTTGATTGTTTATGACTATGGTGTACAACATAGAAGTATGTTAAACTTAGTTTATGTTTGGAATTAACGTTGATGTCTAAAATATAAACTATGATGTCTTGATATTCAACAAGGTTTTGAGTATGTAAGTTGTACGGGACTTACACGTAACAAAAACAACTCTCCCGCTACCTTAACCGGAGTTGAAAATATATTAACGACATCGTATTCATAATTATTGGGAAAGAACTAGTATTATTTCCTATTAAAACATTTAGGTGAATATCGATTGCCTTAGTAATCTTTATTCTTGTTTAAACCAATACCAATAACAAATCCCTACAATTTAATATCAATTATATACTTTTGTATTTGAATCTCGAACTTTATAATATCAACCATTTCTCTGTGGATCAACTTGATATTTACCAGTATTTTATTATTACATCGACACTTGTATACTTGCAAGTTTAGTAATATCCACTGTTCTAAAAATCGGTCTAGGCGGACTGATTAATCGGCCTAGGCGACCTAGTCGGCCCTAACTGCAGAGACCTAGTCGGTCGAAAAATCGCCCTAGTCGGCCAAAACATCGGCCTAGTCGGCCGCCTAGGCGCTAGGCTCCCCTCAACCGTTCGACTAGCACCTAACGAGTTTTAGAACAATGGTAATATCATATAACAACCTATGACTTAAATGATCCAACCTCACTCACTGGTCTAATTACAAAACCAAGGCCACAATCCCACTCGTTATCTGTCAATTTGTGATTAAACTCCAATTTACATTATTCCGGTTAACTGTCTGATCGGAGTTCAGGATGAGGTGTATCTTTTTTTTTTGGAAATCAAAAGACTATTAGTAACAGGGGAAAATAATTAAAATATCTCAAACTTTGAAAGGGTGTGAGATGAACACCCCAAACTTGCATATGTAATTTAAATACCCCAAACTTTATATAAAAAGTTATTTTAGCACCATACTCAAGTATTATTTCTTTAAAAAATGTAAGGTGTTAATTGAATAATAATTTAAAATATTTTAAAATTCATGAAGACACAATTAACATTCTAAACTTCAATTGCGAAATAAATAATGTTAGACCCAATCTATATAATTGCAACACTTTTAATTTGATATTTTAAATTATGCAATTAACCCCATAAATTTCTATTTTTGCAAGAAATAATACATGACAATGATGCAAACTTTTTATATATAGTTTGGAGTATTTAAATTACACATGTAGTATTACTTTTCCATCAGTAATACTGGTGCTATTTCTTCTAGGAAATTTGTATATATATATATCCTACACCTCGTTAAACATTGTATATGTATATCAATATAGATGAATGATCACCTCAAGGTAGTTCTGACGGGAAGCCCCGTCCGAACATGTCTATCAGAGGCCCTTCTAGGTGGAATTTTTTGATTAAATTCTTTTGAGCATGTTCTTAATGAAGTCTAGTTTATATACAAAAAATTTCGGCTAAAGATTCAATCATGAAGACAATCAAATAATTTTTGGAAGATAATTGTGCCAAAATACACATATAAAAAGGGAGAAGGTACAAATATACTCCTGCACTATGGGTGGGAGAACAAATATACTCATATTCTATTTTTTGGAACAAATATACCCCCGAAGTATATGTTGAAATGCATATATACCCCTGAACTTTTAAAAAGTGCAAAAATACCCCTCATGTTCTTATAAAGACGTAAATTTACCTTTATTGATTTTAAATAGATAAAATAAATTTCAAAAAACACCAAAAATAAAATATAAATTCGAAATTTAAAAAAATGATTTATTATTATTAAAATATTACGTAGTAATTCTTTAATTTTAAATTTCAAAATTTTTAATTTTCCGTGGTAAATGAAGCTAAATCATTAATACTAGTATTGCTTTTAGTCTTGTTATGAAATTTTGAACACATTGTTATATTTTTTTAAATAACATTCTTTGATTTTCTTTAAACTTAATAAAATTAAATTCACTATTTTGTAATCTTGAACTATTTATCATTATACAAAATATGTAATTTTGTAGTGCAACGAATGAAAAAAAAATATTTTTTTTGTATTGGAACACATAAGTTAACACTTTTTTCGAAAAAACTTAAATATATAGTAATGTTTTGAAATAACATTTTATAATAAAAATATTTAAATGTGATTTACAAACAATAAAAGGGAGAATTGGACACAAGTACATTTTTAAAATTTTTATTTTTTAATTTTGAATTTATAATTTATGTTTGGTGTTTTTTGAAGTCAATAAGGGTATATTTGCTCCTTTATAAGAATATGAGGGGTATATTTGTACCTTTAAAAAAGTTCAAGGGTATATATGCACTTTCACAAATACTTCAGGGGTATATTTGTTCCGAAAAATAGAATAGGGGTATATTTGTTCTCACACTCATACTACAGGGGTATATTTGTACCTTTTCATAACATAAAAATGCAGTTACGTTACAAAAATTGATTAGTAACATTTCCAAAGTTTCATCAAAAAATTAACCCGGAGGGTCCTCTAGCAAGTTCGGATGGGCTTTCCCTGAGGGTGATCATTCCTCTATCAATATATAAATCCGCAAATCTATCAATATACAAAAATTAACCCGAAAGGTCCTCTGGCAAGTTCAGATGGGGCTTTCCCTGAGGGTGATCATTCCTCTATCAATATATATCCACGTGCACTGTTTTACTGATCCTAAGGACCCGTTTGGTGGTTTACACATTAAAACTTTGCATGTAAAATGATTACATATAAAGTTTGGGGCGGTAAAATACTTTGCATGTAAAATAGAAATACACTGTTGAACACATTAGTACTCCGTATAAAATAAAATAAGGTATACTCCGTATAAGCTAATCCTGGAACACGCTGCCGTTTTTTTTTATGACGGTGAGATTTACCGATGAAGGTGAGATTTGCCGTAGATGATCTTTTTCTGTGAGGGAAAATTATTAAACCACGATGTAAAGAAGAGACCCAAATTACCAGGGTGCCTAAAGTATTAACTGAAGTATTACAGCAGATGGAAAGGTATTCGTCCATGATGGTATGAAACCATGATTTTGTTTTTTTACACGAAATATTGGAGAAAACCCTAGCTTTTGCCGTGATTTTTCCCTCACGGCCAAGGTCCGGTGTATAATTCATTCTCCAAATTAATGGATGTAAAATAGTTTACTATCCTCCCTCACGTAAAATATTTTACACGTTATAGTGTAAACTGTTTTTAAAAAGTGTCATACAATTTACATTGAATATTTAAAACAAACAGGATAAAACGTTTACTTTCCTACACTTCAAAATGTTTACTTTACACCGCACCAAACGGGCCCAAGTTCATCTGTCTATCACATTTAGTGAAACATAATAATAATAATAATAAACATAATAAGAAGTACGTATTTGTTTGATTCTGAAATTGAAATCGCAGTTAGCCGATCCAGGCTTGTGAAGGACGACCCGCAGTTGCCGTGACTAGTCTTTGTCGCTCTCTATCATGTCAAAAAACACGGTGGCTAAGCATCAAGAAGGAATAGAATACCTCGATGTCCTTACTAAAGCTGGTGAAAAAACAGGCATCTCCAAACCAAGGTACGCATACATAGCACCCAGAAATCGTTTGATTTTCTCAACTTTCCATTTTTAAACCGGAATTGTTTTTAGATATGATAGTTGAATTCCCAATGCTCGTTTTCTGTAGATATTTAAATTCAGTAATGTGATGATAGATAGGTTTCTAATTCAGACACCCAAAAGCTATGCCTCCAAGGTTGGGCATTACATGTCCTCAAATGATATATTCTAAAGCTAAATGCACCCATTGAGTTAGTTTATTGAAAGAAAGGAAAAATAAGACTAACTTTCTTTATTGACAGAAAAAGAGAATCGTATCTAAGTGTCCAAAAATGACAACAAACCCTTAGAATCCTGCTTTTTAGGATCTTTGAAACCGAAGTACCGCAAAGGCTCCTACCTCTGGTGGGGCCAGGGGGTCGGATGTATGCAGCCTTACCCTTGTACTCAAGCACACAAAGACTGTTTAACTTGTAACTGTACTGTCCAATTTTGTTTTTCTCTCTGTCAATAGCTAGTTAAATATGCCATCTTTTAAATATATTTAGAGATGAGAATAGTTTATTTTTTTTTGGGCATCCTTTCTTTAATGACTGAGATACCCGTATTACTAGAAGTAAAGAAGACGTGTCATGGACCACTCTGAACTAATTCTGTCTTTATGTGTTTATTCTTTTTACTTTTGCATCATAAAATCTTTTAAAAACGACAGTCATTATCTTTTTTCATTCTACAGATTTAATTTTCTAGAATCCCGAAGCTAATGACTTGATGTGTTTGTAACATACCTCAGTTTGATTAAAGTTAGGATCTTTATGTTTGGGAATATCCTACACTTTGAAATATCACTCGTAGTATATCAAGCTTTACTTACTGAGTTACTGCTCATTATGAGCTTCTTTTAGAGAATTAATTGAAATAATAGTAAAGGATTACCAAAGAGGTGTTTAATTTGTGCTACTAATTTATACAACAGAGGAGATGTACACAGAGAAGGGGATTATCATCGAGCTGTTCATGTGTGGATATACGCTGAGAGTACACAAGAACTACTTGTGCAATGCCGTGCAGACTCCAAGGACTCATGGCCTGGCCAGTGGGATATATCAAGTGCTGGGCATATTTCTGCTGGAGATTCTTCATTGGTTTCAGCTGTGTAAGTTGTTCACCAGTTCACGGGAAAACGAAGTGTTTGGGTGACCCCAGAATCTCATTTGATGAATAGAATGTTTCTTAAAACGAAAGGTGATTGAGATGATGTGTGACCACCTCATTACATTAGTCTATTTGGATAGACTAAGACCTCTAAAGCCTTCACCTCCATCAAAATAGACCCTCAGGGCCTTTTTGGGTGGAGGCTTTCAGAGGCGTTAAGTTTTGGTGGGCTTAGTCTATGTCATGTTATTAAAAAATTGAAAACTTAGTATAGTATGTGGTACAATAACATTCCAATCACCTTTTATTCATTTTACAAACATTCAATTTACCAATATATAGACTACCTCACTAACCCATCCAAAGCTTTCCCCTCCAAATCTCTGATGGAGTACACTATTCTTCAATTCTCAACACGTTATTAGATTGGTGTGAATTGAAAAATAGTACTCCTTTAAAATCATCATATATATTCTTCATGTGCTCCATCTACCTCATGGGTTGTTATTCTTATATTAAATGGTCCTTTCTTTTGCTTCACGCATGCAGGAGGGAACTTCAAGAAGAACTTGGTATAACACTTCCAAAGGATGCATTTGAATTAATTTTCGTTTTTCTTCAAGAATGGTCAGTAGATGAAGCTCTTCTACATGTTTTTTTCCTTGTGGCTTTTTTCCGAGATTAGTAGCTGTGTGAATATCACTAGATGTGTATTTTTATCCTTTCATTACCTCACATTGTTTCATTCTATTTCTGTTTTTCTTTTGCAGTGTTATCAATGATGGGACCTATATCAACAATGAATACAATGATGTATATCTCGTTACCATGATAGATCCAATTCCTCTGGATGCCTTTACTCTACAGGTAAGCTGATGTGTTGAATTCTTTATTTCCTACCATTGCCATTTGTAGCAACTTCAGTATAGCATCTATGAATAAATTTTCCCTAACGGCCAATGCCAATTATTTCCAAGTGCCCCTATTTCTTCCCTTTTAAGATGATCCACATTTTAACTTTAGTTGAAATGAAATAATAACAACAACTACCTTAGTCTTGGACTCTTGGATTTGGAATGAGTTAGCTTATAACCCCTCCATGTTCCTATTTTTGCCCAACTGTATTTCTTTGGTTAACCCGGCCTTTCTTCTTCCTCTTCCACTTGTTTTTCTTATAATATCTGAAAACAGAAATCCTTATTTTCTAAGTATTTAATTTTATTTGATAAATCTAGATTAAGTTTTACAAAAAATTGAATTGTGAATTGCTTGAGTCAAGTTCCTTGTTGATTACAAGTATATCTTTAGTTTGACTGACCCACAAATTCTAAATGTTTCTTTTTGCGTTCTTTCATCTCTTGGTAGGAATCAGAAGTTTCAGCGGTGAAATATATCTCTTATCAGGAGTACAGAAGCTTACTTGCCAATGAAGATCCTCATTATGTGCCTTATGATGTAAATAGTGCATATGGTCAGCTCTTTGAAATCATTGAGAAAAGGTTTGCCTGACAAACAATACATGTGTTTTCAAAATATACCATCTCATATGCTTCAAAAAGATATTATATCATTATGATATTATCATATAGATATCCAAATGAATATTGTGCTTGCATCTGCGAGTTTAATTGTGTATTAATTTCCACAGATTTACATATAGTATGTAATCATTTTGCATCATATTGCAGAACCCTGTGTCCCTGTCAACCTATGAAGTGGCGGTTACACTTTTTAACCAATAAAATGTTTGTCTTAGTAACTTATCAAGTATGTCCAACTGCTATATATAACAGGTACAGACAAAATGTTGACCTGAGGAGTTTGAACCTACAAAAGCAGATTAATCGTTATGCTCCTGTTTCACTCAGTGCCGAGGTTTGACCGTCATTTTGTCTTTTCTTGCATAAAAAGTAACAACAGCTGAATATTCCATCTGGATATTAGTAGTTAAGCACTTAAGCATAATAGTAATGGAATACACAAGGAGTTTATTCTTACTTATTGAATAAAGCAATAGCAATAAATGGAGGGTCTACTGAGGGATAGTTTTTTCTTTCCCCCCTTTTTATTGTTTTTATTATGGTAAGCGAAATTGAAATATAGTGCTCCTTCAGCACTTACCTTTGCATCTGTTAAAAAAAATAGAAAAAAGCTAAAACACTGCAGGAGACCATTATTTATTTTGTCCCTACCTTTTTTATTTTATAAATATTAACGAGACACATTATTAGGAAATGTTCAGAAAAAGTGACAAATTTTTTCCTTGATACAGACTGCCGGGATAAGTGATGCAGACAAAAAAGCTCTAGCTCTTATTGTCAAAGCTGCAACATTTATAGACAGGATTTTTTACTTGCAGGTTTAGTACTTTCTACTACTCCCAATAAAAGTTTACTGAATCATGCTCCCAATAATTTTTTTTCGCACTATATAACTGAAAAACTATAAAATTCAATAGCCTTCTAGCCTGATGTGATTTAGAACGCCACAAAAGAGACAAAGTTAGTGTATACTTTCTCCTACCTTGTTTTCTTATTACTTTCTTTTTTCAACCATTTTTAAATTATCTTCGCTTTACTTATAAGTAAAACGTTCTGTGGTTGAAATAATTGATCTCTTTCCTAAACAAATCAAATGAAATTTTCCAGTTAAACAAATGTTATAAAATAAAAAAACCTAAGTAAGGAACAAAAGGAGATATTTTGTTGAAGGCTGTAAACATATATATGTATTCCTACGAATTTTGGGCCCACAATTTTTTTAATGGGGCCATATGTCAATGGTCTCAATGGCTTCAAGGGAAGCATGGCCCTGAGTGCCACCGCGCCCAATCACAAGATACTACTCTGTATATTGTTTGTATGAGTTGGAATTTGCAAGCAGCTACTGTTTCAGTATTTGTTTCATGTACTATTAATTTCTCACCCTACCTTTGCTGAGAAGATTTTTTTTGCTTTACTTTTTTTAATTAATTCCGACCCCAATATCTTCTGGGACTAAGGCTTGGATGTTGTTTGTTGTTGTAGAAAAATGTGACACGTGTTTGTAATTTTTAATTAATGTACGTGTGTAGTGTATTAGATAAGAATTAGAGCTGATAGAATGCTGATAGACTTCATTAATTATTAGATAAGCACATAGATAGAAAGATCCTATTTTTTAGGATCTGAATAGCAAAGTTGTTATCTGTACTCTGTATATATACTACTGCCGGTTGGCTCAATAATATTCAAGGAAGTTTTATTCCTAAAACCTACATGGTATCAGAGCTTCGGTTTACACATCACGATGGTAGAAACCACAGATTCTGATTCATCCCACATCACAAACCCTAACTCCCAAATTAGCCCTATGACAAATTACCAATCTCCTATTCATTCATCTATGCTAATCACCAGCCATAGATTGAATGGAAAAAACTATTTGGAGTGGTCTCAATCTGTCAAGCTTGCAATTGATGGGAGGGGAAAACTGGGGTACCTAACAGGAGAAGTCAAACCCAAACTTCCCGGTGAGGAAGGCTATAACACATGGAGGTCAGAGAACTCACTGGTAACAGCCTGGCTTCTCAGCTCCATGGAGGCCTCAATTGCCAAACCTCATATGTTCATGAAGACAACAAAAGAGGTCTGGGATTCCATAAAGGAAACTTACTCAGACCTTGAAATTCTTCTCAAATTTTTGAGTTAAAAACCGTTCTTTGGCAGTCCAAACAAGGAGATAGAGATGTCACTACCTACTTCAATGAAATGGTGTCTCTATGGCAGGAGTTGGATCAGTACTATGATGATGAATGGGAAAGTGCAAAAAGATCTGGCTAAACACAAAAGGAGAGAAGAAAATGACAGGGTTTATATGTTCCTGGCAGGAGTTAATCAAAGTTTTGATGAAGTGAAGGGAAGGATTCTGGGAAAGAAGCCTTTGCCTTCAATCAGAGAGGTATTCTCTGAAATCAGAATTGAAGAGAGCAGGAAGAGGATTATGAATAACACTCCAGGACCTCAAAATGATACTGGAGACTCCTCAGCATTGGTGGTCAAGGGAGAAGAGAGAAAAAAGCCATGGTGTGATCACTGCAAGAAGCTGTGGCACACAAGGGAGACTTGTTGGAAGATCCATGGAAAGCCACCTGGAGCAGGAAAAAAGAAGTTTGAAAATGCTCTCAATACTACTGTGACTGAAACTCAACAAGAGCAGGAAATCAATTCCAAACAGTTTCCTTTCACAAAGGAACATATAGAGCACCTACTCCAGTTTCTAGCTACCCAAAAAATACCCAACCAAGAAACCCCCTCTTGTTCTTTTGCCCAAAATGGTAAAATTACATCATATTTCTGTTCTGAAAAATCAAAAACCACCTGGGTCATTGACTCAGGTGCAACAGACTACATGACCTTATTCCAAATCTGTATTCTTCATATACACCTTGTGCAGGGGATAAAAAAGTCAAAGTTGCAGATGGCTCTTTTTCCGCCATTGCAGGGATGGGAAATGTCAATATTTCCTCATCCATTCACCTTTCTAAAGTCTTTACATGTTCCAAAACTTTCCTGTAATCTTATTTCTATTAACAAGTTAACCGAAGACCTTCAGTGTTGTGTCAGATTTTATCCCTCTTATTGCATTTTTCAGGATCTAGCATCGGGGAGGATGATTGGCAGTGCTAGAGAGGAAGATGGACTCTATGTCTTTGATGAAGGGACTGAATTAAATAAACAAAGTCAAGGAAAGGCTTGTCTGCAAACTATTTCTTTTCCTTGTAATAATGAAGTGTATTTGATGCACTACAGATTAGGTCATCCTAGTTTTTACTACTCCCTCCGTCCCGGGGAGAAGTTCCCCGGTTGACTTTCACACATATTTATGCAAGAGTAGAAGACTAAAGGGTTTTCCAAATTTACCCCCACCCCACCTGCGCTGAAAGAAAGCCGAAGGAGTTAAAGTAGTTGAAAGAAAAAAAAATCAATTGTGACTTGACAGGTCTACAGTGTAAAGTAGTAATCCATTCATTACATTTTCGTTCTCTTTAGCCCAATTTTTTTGGAGGGAATGATTACACAAAAAATTCAAAGTTCCCTCCTTTTCTATCTATACATAAAAGCGCCAACCCCCCCCCCCCCCAATTATTCATTTTCAACTCCATGGAGCTTTCTCTTGTTCTCTCCCAAACAGCAAGTACACCCATAAATGCCAGCATTTGTTCTCAAACTGGTCCACAGCCTGAGAATGGCTTTGAAGATGCCTCTGCCATACCTACAGGACACACAAATGCAGGCAGTCAGCAAAAACGATGGCCCAAACTGACAAATGCACAAAAAAGAATTATGGTTGAAACACTGCTAGCAAATTACTCCAATGGCAGACTTCTGAGGGGCATAGTGGGGAAATCAGCTTTGCAGTTCAAATGTTCAAGGTGCACTGTACATAAAGTGTGGACGAGAGCAAAGAAACAAATGACTGAGGGAGTAGGTATTAATGTCAACAACCAGCACAAAGGAGGGAAAAAGAGAGTCACCGTTGACTTAGAACAAATGAAAGCTATCCCCCCTGCACAAAAGAAAGAACATCAGAGCCCTAGGCTTTGCCATGAACATGTCAAAGTCATCTGTTCACAAATTAATTCAAGATAAACAGATTAAGAGACATTCAAATGCAATTAAGCCCTTCCTCAAACCTGCTGGTAAAGTAAAAAGGTTAGCATTCTGTTTATCTCATATCCTACCAAGGTCTATTCCCTTAAGCCCCATTTTTCATGACTTTCAAGATCATATCCACATAGATGAGAAGTGGTTCTTCTCAAAGGAAACCACCACCTACTACACCCACCCCAGTGAGGTATATCCTTACAGATCAGCTCAAAGTAAAAAATTTATACCTAAGATCATGTTTTTGGCAGCAGTAGGCAGGCCAAGGTTTGGGGATAGTGGTGAAGTTATTTGGGATGGAAAGATTGGTATATTTCCATTTACTTAAGAAGAAACAGCAAAAAGGGCAAGTAAAAAATAGACCAAAGGGTACTTTAGAAACAAAGGCAACCACAAGTGTGACTAGAGATGTTCTGAAGAACATGATAATAAACAAAGTTCTGCCTGCAATTAAAGAAAAATGGCCTGATTCAGAGAACAAAACTGTATTTATCCAGCAAGATAATGCAAAGCCACACATTAAGGTGGGAGATCCTGATTTTGTGAAGGCTGCTACTGATAATGGATGGAACATAAACCTAACTTGCCAGCCAGCAAACAACCCATATTTGAATGTCCTTGATTTGGGTTTTTTTCGTGCTATTGATTCATTGAAAGAACAAAAAGCTCCTCAGACTATTCATATTTAACTAAGGCAGTTCAGAATGCTTTTGATGAGCTGACACCCTATAGTCTGAATAAAGTCTTTTTAAGTTATCAACTAGTTATGGAACAAGTACTCATTGCAAAAGGTGGAAATAACTTTCGCCTCAAACATATTGGCAAGGATAAGTTACACAAACAGGGTATGTTGCCTAAAAATATTGAGATAAGTAATGCTTTACTGGAGGAATCTAAGGCTACTCTTATTGAATTGCAAGCTGAAGCATCAGGAACAAAGGACACAAACATGGAAGCAGAGGAAGAAGAATGATCTGCAACAGAGTTCATAAGTGAAGATCTGTTTGGTCTTCAAGAATGAACTTTGTGTATGTAATGCTTTATATGCACACATGTGATTTTTTGTATGAACTGCCATTAGATGCCAAACCTACAATTTTCTTATGTAGGGGCAGTGTAGTTGTTTTGTATGAACTGCTAATAGATTCCAGACCTACAATTTTTTTATGTAGGGGCAGCGTAGTTGTTTTGTATGAACTGCCAATAGATGCCAGACCTACAATTTTTTAGTGTAGGGGGTAGTTTAGTGTTTTTGGATGAAGCCATTAGATGCAATGACATGTTGAAATCAGAAAAGGTGTACACTTTTATGTTTAAGCAGATCCAACACACCTTATAACACATGTTTGGTATAAATGCATGACTGGATTACAAGTTGGCAGTCCAATTTGGTAAAAATGACATGTTGAAATCAGAAAAAATGTACACTTTTATGTTTAAGCAGATCCAACACACCTTATAACACATGTTTGGTATAAATGCATGACTGGATTACAAGTTGGCAGTCCAATTTGGTAAAAATGACATGTTGAAATCAGAAAAAATGTACACTTTTATGTTTAAGCAGATCCAACACACCTTATAACACATGTTTGGTATAAATGCATGACTGGATTACAAGTTGGTAGTCCAATTTGGTAAAAATGACATGTTGAAATCAGAAAAAATGTACACTTTTATGTTTAAGCAGATCCAACACACCTTATAACACATG